GGAGGTCAGAGAATCCAGATCAATGTCGGGTTGAACCCAGTCTGTGGAACATGGTCATAGTTTCCAGGGAGAACCCCTAAAGTTCCACAGCATCTAGCTGATTCAGGTCATATAGTGATTCCAGTCCTTCCAGGTCCAGTCATTTGGTTTTCCCCAGCATCAGTACCCAGTTTCATCAGAATCCAATCAACAAACAGAAGCAGAGGAACTCACCTGAGAAGACTTGCAGCTGCTCTGACCCATCTCTGTCTGCTGTTTGGTTCTGACTGATTGTCCTCCAGGTGTGGCAGGCCCTTTGGTCTGGGCCAATAGCAGCCCTCCCAGCAGGTCATGTGACCAGCAGCAGGTCTGGCAGCATTCCTGCTGCAGGAGCAGCTCAGGCACACCAGACCAACTGGAGGAACCGGCCCAGAACAAGAAAACCAGGAGCTAATGGCACACACACACACACACACACACACACACACACACACACACACACACACACACACACACACACACACACATATACAGTAGAGACCAACTACTCCTACTGGACACATCTGGAATTACATAGTTAACAAAAAAGTGTGAATTATCTTGAATTTATTATCTTTTATAAATCACATTACAACAAACTTTTCTCTATAAATCATAATACTCCTTGTCAGAAAACAATGATTTAAATTACTGAATAAGAATATCAGTAATAAATTTATATTTGTAAAACATAATCTTATAAAATAAGACTTTGTGTTTATGAAATTAATATTTAATTAATTGAAATGAATATTTAATTGATTGATTGACATTATGGAAGGAAGAGAAGAAGGAGCCAAAGGAAAAAAGAGGTGCATGATGGGATATTTCCAGGACAGCTTTTTTATTTTTTTTATTGCAAACTGTATAACTTTGCATATATCTCATCCAGTTTTAGTTTAAATAGTTTTTAACATTAATAAATGTGTGTAATTTAACTGACAGGTCATTATAACATTTATTTTGGTCTTTAAGGGGTTATGAAATGTAAAAATATTGTAATATTATCTTTAACTCTGAGATCTAAGGCGCCTCCTGCTCATTCTGACTGCAGCTGGTCTGATCCAAGATGGCCGCCCTCTGGGCACGTCGGCCATTGTCCAATATGACGTCTGGGGCCCAGAGTCTAGGCAGACCCTGCAGGTCTCCTCGAGGAAGAGCAGGAGGAGGAGGAGGAAGAGCAGGAGGAGGAGGAAGAGGAGGAGTCAGTGAGGCCTATAAATCCTCCTCCCTCCTCCGCCTCCTTCCCTCTTCCTCCCGCGGCTCCTTCTGTCTCCTTCTCCGGTTCTTCGGCTCCGCCATGGGCTTCGGTGACCTGAAATCAGCCTCCGGCCTCAAGGTCCTCAATGACTTCCTGTCGGAGCGCAGCTACATCGAAGGGTGAGTCCATCTAAAGGCGCGAGGCCGCCGCCATCTTGCTTTAGCTAAAGGCTAACGGTTAGCTGCAGGTTTCCCGGTCAGTGAAGACAAACTGGACCAACATGGAGCCGGAATAGCTTCCGGTTCGGTAGGAACCTGCAGGTTCTGTTGGACTTTAGAGTTTAGATGAGAAAAAATCACGTTTTATTGGATTAATGTGAGTTTAATGTGGCGCGCGCCGCGGTCACATGGCGGCAGCAGCGTGTCTGCGGCTGCGCAGATGATGACGTGTTTGTGGTTCATAGCAGGTTCTACTGGACCGGACCGGATGTCCGAACCCTGGGAGCTTCTGGGTCTTTAACTGGACCCAGACTGCAGAACCAGTCGGTCTGGATCCATGGGGGGTGGTTCTGGTTCCTCAGGGTCTGATCGATCCTTGACCCATACTGCAGAACCAGAACCAGCCGATGTGGATTCATGGGGGGAAGGTTCTGGTTCCTCAGGGTCTGAGCGATCCTGGACCCAGACTGCAGAACCAGTCGGTCTGGATCCATGGGGGAGGTTCTGGTTCCTCAGGGTCTGAGCGATCCTGGACCCAGACTGCAGAACCAGCTGGTCTGGATCCATGGGGGAGGTTCTGGTTCCTCAGGGTCTGAGCGATCCTGGACCCAGACTGCAGAACCAGTCGGTCTGGATCCATGGGGGTGGTTCTGGTTCCTCAGGGTCTGAGCAGTCCTGGACCCAGAACAGAACCAGAACCAGCCGCGGTGGATCCATGGTGAGGAGGTTCTGGTTCCTCAGGGTCTGAGTGGTCTTCCACCGGTCCGGTCCAGTTGGATCCCCATCAGTAACCATGGTAACCGTCTCCCCAGGTTCGTCCCCTCCCAGGCAGATGTGGCGGTCTTTGAGGTTCTGTCGGCGGCGCCCCCTGCGGACCTGAACCACGCCCTGCGCTGGTACAACCACATCCGGTCCTACCAGAACCAGAAGACCAGGTGGGTGAGCCTTCATCCTCACCATCATCATCATCATCCTCAGGTGTGGCGGCTGACTTCCTGTCCCTCAGCCTCCCAGGTGTGAAGAAGCCTCTGGGTCAGTACGGCCCCCCCGGCGTGGCTGACACCACCTCAGGCTCCGCCTCTAAGGACGACGATGACGACGACATCGACCTGTTTGGTTCCGACGAGGAGGTGAGGGTGCTGTGATGTCACAGTGAGGTCACAGCTGGATGGGTGGGTGGAGTCTGACTCTGCTGTGTGTGTCCCCCAGGAGGACGCCGAGGCCGCCAAGCTGAAGGAGCAGCGCCTGGCCGAGTACGCCGCCAAGAAGGCCAAGAGTACGTTCATGGCGGCCAATCACGGCGCCCGCTCTGATCACATGACTGAGTGATGAGCATCAATCACCATCTTTCGGCTGACCACCTGATGGACGCCTGTTTACCTGACCAGTCTCCTCCCATTGGGGGGGGTACTGGGTGGTGTGGTTTCCATGGTAACGGAGCTGTCTGTCTCCTTAGAGCCCGCCCTCATCGCCAAGTCTTCGCTCCTATTGGACGTCAAGCCCTGGGACGACGAGACGGACATGGCCAAGCTAGAGGAGTGCGTCCGCAGCATTGAGATGGACGGGCTGGTCTGGGGACAGTGTAAGTACTACTACTACGCCGTACTACTGCGAGGTACCGCCTTACGGAACCGGCGCCGTACTACTGCGAGGTACCGCCTTACGGTACCACCGCCGTACTACTACCGCTCTGCTGCTGCCCTGCAGATAATGATGATCACGTATCTCACCATCTTTCGACTGAAGCCTGATGGAAGCTCTTTGATCTGATCTGCTGCAGGTCCGGTTCTCCTCTGAACAGAACCGGTTCTCCTCTGACCGGGTCCCGGGTTTTCTCTCTGACCGGGTCCCGGGTTTTCTCTCTGACCGGGTCCCGGGTTTTCTCTCTGACCGGGTCCCGGGTTTTCTCTCTTCCTCTCTGACCGGGTCCCGGGTTTTCTCTCTTCCTCTCTGACTGGGTTCTCCTCTAATTGGTCCATGTTCTCCTCCTGCAGCCAAACTGGTCCCAGTGGGCTACGGCATCAAGAAGCTTCAGATCAGCTGCGTGGTTGAAGATGAAAAGGTAACTTTCCCCCATCCTGTCCCCTGATTGGTCGGCCTAGTGTCTGCGTCTGACCCTGTTGTTCTGTTCCAGGTGGGCACAGACATCCTGGAGGAGAAGATCACGGCGTTCGAGGACCACGTCCAGTCCATGGATGTAGCGGCGTTCAATAAGATCTGATTTAATAAAGGAAAACAGAAAAACATGGACTCTTGATTCCTGATGCATATTGAATTAGCAACATTAGCTGTGGAGCTGGTTCCAGCTCTAGAACCAGTTTAGTACCAGTAGGAAGGGTTAGCAGTACCCAGCAGGTAAGCATGCAGTTAGCAACATTAGCTGTGGAGCTGGTTCCAGCTCTAGAACCAGTTTAGTACCAGTAGGAAGGGTTAGCAGTACCCA